TTGTCCAAGACTCTTGATGTAATTTGTACATGTTTACAGACTCACTGCAGATTATAAGGATGTTCGCATGGTAGTTCATTGGTTTAATATTGTATCCGTGGTGCATTGGGAAGCATTTTAGACAGAGATGATATGTCATGTGGCTCGTCCCAACGCAATCAATGGCTGCTCCAGTTCAGTGGTGGATCTAGAGGGCTCGACTGACCCAATGGGGGCATGTAGCAACTGTCCCGAGACATCGACCCAGTGTCTGCGCTGCTCTCATTGGCTTCCACTGGGGAGAAAAATCATTATTTCTGGTTCTTGCTCTTCTTTGTCTCTTTTCCTGTGATGTGACTTTCCAGTAAAAGCTGCTGTAACCGGCATTGAGCTCAGGGCCCAGCGCCACCACTAATGAGGCAGGTGTTCAAATTAGTGAGTCGGGTCAGCAATCCCGTGGGAAAATAGCTTCCGTCATGTAGATGTGGAGAATGGGAATTTTGATTAATTAAATGTGTGGAATGTGAGCTTGAGTCAAGAGTTCAGATATAATTAATATGCAGCCCTTCTAAGGCATTGTTTGGAAAAATATTATGTTGAAGTGGTTGCCAAGGCACGGCTATAAGGTGTGCTGATTGGTTCTTAGCAACAAGCTGTGTGGTTGCTATGGTGTTCTGGGTGGGTGATTGGTTGGGTGTCATTTGCTAACCCATTTAACCCAAGACTCTCTCTGCGTTCGAAATCAAATATTTCCGTTCTCTATAGTATGCAAATAGCAGTATGCCTTTCACAGCACTATATATATATATATATATATATAGTATTTGTGTAGAATTTCTTAAGTATTATTTATATTATACTTTTTTTTTTTATAAAAACCACCATTAAATGGATATAAAATGTTGCTGGTAACTGATTTTAAAAGCTAAAGTAAGAAGTTATGCACTCAGTGAACTACTTCTGAACAATAATTTTTAGCAATTCGGTAATTTGTCTATTAATTTGACTTATATGTCTCTTGGCTCCTAAATGTTTCTTTTCAGGAGCCAAAAGCTCCCTAGTTATTTTTTGTCTAGAGCACTCTTATCATTTAAAAAATCAATAAATTGTGCAACCTTAGTAACATTTCTTTAGCAAACGCTGACAGTCTTTAAAATAGGTCTGCAGCATCAGATATTGATGGTGAGTGGTGATAGTGGCTCTTCTGTAGGAGGACAGGGATCTTTACTATACTGCAGACCTCCCACAATGCTCAGCATGGCTCCGAGAGCAACCTTTTCAGCTGTAAGTTTGATGATTGTGTTTACCGTGTGGTTCTGTTTTTGTTAAACACTTATGTTTCTTTGCCCGGGGGTTCATAATTCTCACAGACAGCTATTTAGCTAATTTCTCCAAATACGTGTGATGTTTGAAGTCATTATAAGCCACATAGCCTTCACACGCGGTGCTTTTCCACAGTGACTGGATATGATTGGACGGGAATGCACCCCCAGGAATTTACGGTTACAGTGATTGTCTGTTTGTCAGCTGTAAAGCGTGTCGGGGATGTCACCGGCGGTGGAAAGAGGAAGGGCATAAAAGCAGACAAATGTGGAGATTGAAAAGTCAAGGTTAGTTATATGTTTCTCTATTCAGCCATGCATTCAATCCTTGACAAGCGTGCAATTCTTCCCTGCATCCATACAGCCAATGGCGGTGGCCTTTATCTGCTCTGCCTAGAAACACACACTCTTGCTTAGTCTCTCTCTCTGTCTCTCTCTCTTATTCTCTTTCTCTCTCACCCACCATCCTCTTTATCTCACGCAATCACTCCTTTCACAACCACTCTGTTACTCTTTTTCTCTATGGTGGATCATTGACACCTTTAATGAGTCAGCACACAGTCACAGCACTAAACGGTGATAATGCGATGCCGTGTAGAGATGTGGAAGTGTGTGGGAAGCTCTGCAAGAGCGTGTTTATCGGTTCAGTCAAACTAACTCGTTTGGAGCTTATTTTAATGCCCTTGGGTTCGGGAAGTATTTTTTTTCCATATGGATTTCAAATAAAGACTCTGAAACTTCAAATCAAACCAGCCTGTTCCCTGATGAAGCACAACGTCACAAACTTTGACTTGCATAAACAATGTTAATTGTGGCAGGCAATTTGTACTCTAAAATTCACCTCATATTCATTGCTTTGAAAAGAAAGATTTTATTTAAATACGCTTAAGTTGAACTGCTTGTGGTTATTTATTTTCTAGTGAACATGTGATAAAGTTGTGCAACTGTTCCGCATTTTCCCCCTATTTTAATTCTTTAAAGGGGAGTGATACAAAAAATACACTCCCCATAAAAAATTATGATACAAAACACATATATATATATATACAGTATATATATATATATATATATATAGAAAGTTCAAAACAACAGCGTTTATCTGAAATCGAAAGCTTTTGTTACATTAAATGTCACTTTTGATCAAGCTTTTTTGCTTAATAAAAGTATTAATTTTTTTTTTTTAAATACTGACCTCAAACCTTTGAATGTTTAATAGTTTTATAATATGTACGGATATACACGGATATAAAATAAAATGGAAATAAAATTTAAAAAATTGCTTCATTGCAAAATACTCAAATATATACAAAAATATAAGTAGTTTGAGAAATAGGAACTCTATTTCTGCAGTTTTTGTTTCCAATAACAGCGACTTCTTTGGTGGATCATTGTAAATTCTGCTAATAAACATGATTTAATTGAAAGTTGAATTCTTTTGAATTTAGGCTTCCATAGAAGCTTAACCTCAGAACTCAAGGTAGGCCTTTATACTTTATTGCTAAAAGTCTGTTTTTCTATTTAAAAAATGAATAGGATTTTTTACTTCTAGAGCTCTGTTGTTGCTCCATCGCCACTGGCTTTTAGCAGCATCCTGATAAAGACGTAACTGTCTGGTGGAGGTAAATAAACTCCGCTTTATCAACAGCAGAGAACGCTTGGTAAATCTTTCCAGGTTGTTGCGGCAACAGCGTCTAACTGAAAATCCTCCAGCTGCTCTCAAGGCTGCAATTATGACAACTGAATGCCTTTATTTTGATTTTGGCATATTCGCTCCAAACAGCTTTTGGATTTGATCCAGACACACAAAGGGAGGCGGGATAGGAACCATCAAGCGTTTGTACACAGTTGACAGGATCTCGGGGTTCTTTCTGATTCAGATTGGTCGGGATCTTCCTCTTGTCAAGCGCTGCTGGTGAATAGACCATTGTGCCGCGTGATTGGCCCTCTTTCACCTCTGTTTGAATGTCAAAGGATGCTGCTGAGAGGAATTACAGTATATTCCTGGATTTCGACAGACGAAAAGCCTGGAATAGTGCTCGTGACAGAGACGGGGAGCTTCAGCTTGAGGAACATTGGATGTTTTTAACCATGCTGTCATATTTCACAAAAACCTTTTAGATTAATTATATTGATGCACATGTGTTGCACAAGTTGCTGTGCATTTGCTTTCTAATAATAGGAACCTTTTAAAAAGAACAGTGGAGGTACCATCTATTTATGGATGCATGTGCAGTTGCCGTACTGTATTAAAGCTTTAATCAGGATAAAACCGTATATTAAAAGCTGACATAAGCAGTAGCATTTACAAATAACAGCGTATCTAAAAGTATGAGACAACAACAAACAAGAAACATAGACCTATCATTAAAAGCCATGCTTGCACAGGTTCTGCACGATCCTCTTCACTAATATCCTCTGCTTCTCAATCGAGCTCAAACTGATAAGCGATATTAACACGCCGTTGTTTACAATACAACCGGAGCACATGCCGCTGAGGAGAGGGGCCGGGACGGTTAGACACGCACTAGAGGCGGTTTAGCCAATCACAACACACTGGGCTAGCTAACCAATCAGAGCCCATTACGTATTTCTGAGGGAGGGGCTTCATAAAAGAAGGAAATGATCAGCCCGTTTCTCAGAGAAGGAACAGAGCGGTGTGGAATAAAGGTAAATTAGATGAAAAATAATGTGTTTTTAAAAAAACGAAGCATTAACACATGTTAGACTGCACCCCATAAACACAATCAAGCCTAGAAAAAAAACATTGAAACACCCCTTTAAATGATTGACAGAGATAACACAGCGCTCGCAGACAGTGATTGTGGAAAGCTTTAGCCTCATATCGAACCGTTAACTGTTTTGATACTGAAAAAAAATCGCAATGAACGTATTGGAGAATCCCGTTTCTTGAAGGTCAGATGATAGAAGATCAAATGGAAGCTTTGCTGAACTTGAGATTGTTCTTCTAAATAAACGACCCTGTAATCTCACATGTATCTCCTCTAGAGTTTCACAAGAGATCTCAAACTGCTCTCAAATATGAAAGACTTCCATCAAAGGTAAAATATGACACTTTTCTCATCAGGTTTTCCTAAGATCAAATGATCTGCTGCTATCCATGTTTTTTTTTTTAGCTCTGCACTCTTACTGTATGTCAATAACGGTCTCACTTGTGTCTGTTTTTCTCCTGTGGAACTTTAGAAGAAACATCTGAGACAAAGTTGATTCCTGAATGAAACAAATCTGAGAATTCCCGAGCAATGAAATGTGCAAAATATATTTTTGCAGACATTTTCTGTTGAAGCTCTGTTTTAAATGTAAGTGTTATGCATCCAGTAGTTAACAATCTTCTTGTTTGAATCTCTAATGCTGACTAATAAATTCAGGATTGCTTATATTGAACAGAAGTGCGTGTATGCCGTACATGGATCAAATTGACTAGCCTAGAAAAAAAACATTGAAACACCCCTTTAAATGATTGACAGAGATAACACAGCGCTCGCAGACAGTGATTGTGGAAAGCTTTAGCCTCATATCGAACCGTTAACTGTTTTGATACTGAAAAAAAATCGCAATGAACGGATTGGGGAATCCCGTTTCTTGAAGGTAAGATGATAGAAGATCAAATGGAAGCTTTGCTGAACTTGAGATTGTTCTTCTAAATAAACGACCCTGTAATCTCACATGTATCTCCTCTAGAGTTTCACAAGAGATCTCAAACTGCTCTCAAATATGAAAGACTTCCATCAAAGGTAAAATATGACACTTTTCTCATCAGGTTTTCCTAAGATCAAATGATCTGCTGCTATCCATGTTTTTTTTTTTTAGCTCTGCACTCTTACTGTATGTCAATAACGGTCTCACTTGTGTCTGTTTTTCTCCTGTGGAACTTTAGAAGAAACATCTGAGACAAAGTTGATTCCTGAATGAAACAAATCTGAGAATTCCCGAGCAATGAAATGTGCAAAATATATTTTTGCAGACATTTTCTGTTGAAGCTCTGTTTTAAATGTAAGTGTTATGCATCCAGTAGTTAACAATCTTCTTGTTTGAATCTCTAATGCTGACTAATAAATTCAGGATTGCTTATATTGAACAGAAGTGCGTGTATGCCGTACAGGGATCAAATTGACTTTCACTAGAGGACGAAGTGGCCCTCAGTGTGAACCTCACATCGGGTGCTTTCCCCTATTCACATTCATTACATGTTTTATTGCTCAGACAACGTCCCTGGACAACACTCTATCACTCTCAGAGGGTAATAGCTTTTTTCGCCAGTGTAATTGAATTGATCAGCCACTTGAAAAAACCAACAGAGATCAAAAGTCGTATGCATCTAAATTAGTTTTTTTAAATATTGATTTGATTTATTTTTTATATTCTATAACAGTTTAGGCCTATTAAATGGTAAAAATTTTGACTTTTAATTTCACTGTAATGTTATATGGTTATATTTACTCATTTAATCATCAGATTTTGGGAATAAATCCATTTATTAGAGGCATCAGTATCAGTATTGGTGTTAGTGCAGTGTAGTTACAGTGTAGATTTATAATTTCCAGCTGTTTTTATTATTATTTGTAGCAAATTAATTGTAGTAGAATTTTTTTAAGAATACTTATCATTAAATGATAATATATTAAATAAAAATTGAATGAAAATATATTTTTCTTAATAAAAAAATTAAATGCACACAAAATATTTTTTCAAATAAAATGCCAATTTTTTGTGTGGTGAAGGCAGTGAAAATTATGAAAATGACAAGTGTGACACCGTGTCTTAAAGGTACATTGTGAATCAGTGTTATTTTAGCATTATTTATATACTATTATGGTTTTATTAATATTTTCAATTAATTTGTATTTTTATGTGTGTGTGTGTGTGTGTGTGTATTCTGTCTCAAGGGATTAAAACACTTCCAATTAATTTGGTATGTATACACACACACTCATGTTGATCCCTCATGGGATCGGATGAGATACGGATAATCCATGCTGGCTGCTTTAAAGTCAACATGAAATCAACATGCACTCTTTTTACTTTCTTACTGCACGTTCCTGATGTTATTTTGCACAATTTATTGGTGCACTTTATTTCAAAGAAAATGAAAAATGTTCTTGTAATCATCCATCAAAATGTATTTCTCTGAAATGATTTTATCAATTTTTTTAAGGAAAATCTATGAAAATTAAGCAATGTAACACCAAAGACACATTTAAATAAACCATATGAAAAAATATATATGTAAATTAGTTACTTTTTCAACATGCTGTGAAAAATCACTATGCAAGCCTTTGAACTTTGGTCTTTGAAACCTTTTATATTAATTTTAGATTAAAAGTGTCTAAATTGATACTAATGACAATTTTGACACTTTATTTTATATATAAGCATCATTTTATTTTAGAAATAAAATGTGTTTATAAATATTTACATAGATTAAAAAAAATGTATAACAGTACATTTACAGTATTTTATTTTTATTTATTATTATGTATTCAATATTTCAGGTAATATCAGTGTATATATAAAATATATTATTAAGTAAAATATTGGAGATATAAGTATAATATAATAATCAAATTTAGTTATATTAATTATTAATATATAATTGAATCTATAATAGTTATACACATGTACATATTAAATATTAACACTAATTTGTTTTTTATTATATTAATTTATTAAATATTATGATGTATCCAATAGTTCAATTAATATCAGTATATACAGTATACAATTCAGTAGTAAATGAAATATTGGGTATATAATTATAACAAATATAATAATTGAATATACTAATTAATAAAAAATTATAATAAACACACACACACACACACACACACACACACATATATATATATATATATATATATATTCCTTTTTTGCACACTTGTTAAATGCTTAGCAATGGAAAAGAAAATTATTTGAGAATAAAGAGTTACATAAGTAACATTAAATAACTGTAAATGTCTTAGAAGTGTCTTGTCAGATGGAGACAATCTATTTCATATTATTTAAGAAATTGTTAAGTTATATTGTTATACATATTATCTTAATGAGTGAAGTCAAGGTGCATGTCACTGTCTCTATATTTTGAGAGTTACTCATGCATGAAGTTACCATAATATAATTATCAGATACCATCATTGCACTATGTACTTTTTTGTAAAGTTGTGTTCTCAAATGATAAGAATGTTGCTGTGAATGCTGTACTGTTCTAGCCATACATACTTCTTAGTGTACTGTGTGTTCTTACCAGTGGTTCCTGCTAACATGATTGGCATTCCTTCGTTGTAGGTCAAAAGTGTCAACCTGTCAGAAGGCGAGCAGCTGTCAATCAGAGGGGTAGATGAAGCTGGGGCCCTGCTGGTTCTGGCCAATCAGACGCTTCTGGTGGAAGGTCAGGTGATCCGGAGCCCGACCAATACGCTGTCTGTGTTCTACCGCTCGTCTCCGGAGGGAGGAGTCGGCATATTCCAGCTGCATTATCAAAGTAAGTATTTTTCAAGACAAGCCACTTATGCATTAAACACAGCATCTTTGGGACTTGCCTCTTGCTGTGGTTTTATAGAGATAATTACTCTTTTACATAAAACTCTGACGTTTATGTAATATTATAGTAATGAGTCCCACAGGTGCTTGTGTAAATGCTAAAAATGCTTCTCATCCAGAAGTCTCAGTACTTGCGGTGCTCTTGTTGAACTTGTTAGTCACCGGCCAGACTTTGCCTCCAAATTTTTAATTGAAAAATTCTCCATTTGGTTAATTTGCTTGCTTATCTAACTTGATAGCTTCTGCCGTGTCCATTAACCGGCTGATGTACTTGTAGTTTCACTCCAGGGCTCATTTCACAAGGCTTTATTGTGCCATCTTGTGTGCAGTTTGTCTTATTCTGCATCCTCGAGTGGCATTAGCATTCATTTTCTTCATAAATGATTGAAGGAATAGTTCACCCCCAAGAATCTGTCATTATTTACTCAGATGTCATAAAAGGAGAGTTTTTGAAGGATAATCATGCACTCTTTTATTGTCCAGTTTTTCGCCTGGGTTGTGCTCTACCTCGACGGCCTCATTTTGGGGAGGTGTCAGTAAAAGATCTGCATCCCGGAGGCATGGCCCATTTCCAGTGTCACATGGGATACCACCTGCAGGGGGACGCCACACTCACGTGTCTCAATGCCTCGCTGCCCGTGTGGAGCCAACATGAGCCAAGCTGCAGAGGTGACATACTGAGATTAGTAGAGGAACAAGTGCTGAAATGTTCATATAAAAAATTTGAAGTCATTTGAACAAACTCCTAAACCTCATATTAAACATATATTCTATACGTATATATGTGATACCTGCAGGGGGACGCCACACTCACGTGTCTCAATGCCTCGCTGCCCGTGTGGAGCCAACATGAGCCAAGCTGCAGAGGTGACATACTGAGATTAGTAGAGGAACAAGTGCTGAAATGTTCATATAAAAAATTAGAAGTCATTTGAACAAACTCCTAAACCTCATGTTAAACATATATTCTATACGTACTGTATATATGTGTCACTGAAGACTGAAAATTCAGCTTTGCATCACAGAAATAAATGACATTTTAAAATACAGTGGGTATAGAAAAGAATCAGCCCCCTTTAAAAGAATCACATTTTGTTGCTTTGCAGCCTGAAATGAAGACGGACACAGTTTTTGTTTTATCCAGTTGTATTTGCTCAGAGCAACTTATAACATCCAAGTGAAAGATATAACACCAACATGTCAGAAAAAACAAAACAATAAAAAAACTGAATCACTGATTTGGAAAAAGGATCGCCCCCTTGTGTCAGTATTTTGATGAACCACCTCTTGCTTTAATCACAGTCTTTAGTCTGTTGGGTTTTGTCTCTACTATCTTTGCACATCTAGACTTTGCTATATTTACCCACTCTTCTTTACAGAACTGCTCAAGTTCAGTTCAATTTGATGGGGACTGTTTGTGGACTGCAGTCTTCAAGTCATTCCACAGATTTTCAGTGGGGTTTAAGTTTGGGCTCTGACTAGGCCATGCAAGAACATTCACCTTTTTCTCCTTCAACCACTGTGTGCTCAGTTTTGGTGTGTGCTTTGGCTCATCGTCATGTTGGAAGGTAAAGCTTCTTCCCATTGACAACTTTCTGAAAGAGGGCAGCAGATTTTCCTCAAGAATTTGACGGTATTTTGCCCCATCCATTTTTCCTTCTATCC